CAGCTGGACCATTCCATGGACCAAGGAATGGGTTGCACCCTAGGACAAATTGGCCATTGATTAGGTGTAAGTCTCAATACTGACTTTTAGAAAGACAATAGTTGTGAGAATCAAGAATTAAGAAAATGAGGATTTTTCTAAATCACTTTATCTCCTTCTTTGGTATATCAAAGACCGTGCCATTCATCTTCATGGAATTTCTTCCACAATGCAAAGATAGCAACTCTTCGACTTATAGAGGGAGGCCAACAAGCTTGCTGACCTAGGGAGAGAAAGGAGAAGTTAGAGAGAAAGTAAAAAGTCCAAAACTGGATCCCTCTAGCCAGGCAGGCTGGAAGTCTTGAGGGATTATGAGAGGAGATATAGGTTGATCGAGGGGTTAGACGCCATGTTCTCACCCCTGTTCACAGATTTTCTTCCAGGGTTAAACTTTGGTGGAGCAGTGGAGGGGGGAGGGACTTAGAAGCAACCAGATTTGCCTGAGGAGGTTTGAGGACACTGAGATTAGTGGCCCAGCATCAGGGAGAATGTAGACCCCTTGGAGAACTTAGGTCCCTATCCATTCTTGCCTAAAAGGATGGCAAGAAGGAGGCTATAGAAAGCTGCTGGTTCTTCATGGTTTTTGTATGAAGTGTGAGGGAGTGGCACTGTGCCTGGAGAGAGGACACAGTTTCTGAGTATACATTGGACTAACATAACCAAGAGGCTACACTGTTTGAGGACATCAAGATTAGAGGCAAATGACTGGGATCACGTGCTCCAGTGGTGGGATCCAGAAATCTGAATACAGCCACATAGTACTAATCTAGAGGAGCCACTCTGCCACTCTGCTATGGAGATCAGGGAGGGTCTGGAGGACAACGAGTCCATCTGAGGACCCCCTCTCTCGTATGCGGTCCTACTCCTCACTGAGTGTATACTGGCCTGGCCATATTGGTTATTTATGGCCAAAGTCTCTTCTAATTGGGGCTAGCTGTTAGATATTAACATTTTAAATATTATTCCTATATATATTCCGTATTTCCATAAACCATCTTAGAGGAAAATTCAGAACTCTAGAAGATAGAGATTTATCCAAAGAGACTGAGCATTTACCTAAAGAGACTGCTAAATATTTGGATCAGACTAAACATATCAGGTTGGACTAAAATTAAATTGTTCTTCCTTCTGTCACTAAGTAAGGTAGAGAACGCACAAGGGAGGTCAAATCAATTAATTGGGGATAAACAAATGATATTATTTCTGTATGAAGTTCAGTAAATTTGCAGCTTTGTGACAAATTCTAGTGTATGGGAGGTTAGAAATATCTGGAGACTTCTGCTACCATTTAATTCATTAGCCTACTGAGTTCCACAGAGGCAGGGATTTTTGTCTCTTTTGTTCACTGCTGTATCTCCAGTGCTCAGAATAAGTGTCCGGCACACGGTAGGTGCTCAATAGGGATTTGTTGAAGGAATTACAACTATAACATGAGGCAGACTTGCAGAGTGCCCCCTAAGAATCCCAACACTAATTCAACAAAAGCAGTGTCCCTAGTGTCATCCATCATAATCTGTAGTTGTCAGCTCCCTCTGCAAATATAATGTTTCATTTTAGGCACCAAAATTGAAGAGGGACATTCCTCCATAAACTAGAGAGGATCCAGAAGAGAGCAGGCAAGACAAGAGAATTCTGAAAACCACCCAAAATAAGGAACAATTGACACTACTTGAAGAAAAAAATGATTGATTAGAGATATGATGCTATTTTCAAATGTTAGAAAGACCTTCATCAAAGACAAATCTGGAATAAATATATGATTGCATGTTCATAATTAGACCCAGTGGGAAGAAATTATGGATAGGCAAATTTTGGCTCAATGTTACACAGAAACTCCTGACTAATTTTTCAATACAGCCATGCACCGCACAACTTCTTGGTCAACGATGGACCACATATATGACGGTGGTCCCATAAGATTACTACCATATAGCCTAGGTGTGTAGTAGGCTATGCCATCTAGGTTTGTGTAAGTATACTCTATGATGTTCACACAATGATGAAATCGCCTAATGACACATTTCTCAGAACATATCCCCATCATTAAGCGACACATGACTGTAATGGATTGGATTGCTTTGTAAACAAAAATGTGAGATTTAATTATGGATTGTCTTCTGTTTTCTTTTCATTATTCATCAGTATTTGCCTCCCTCCTCAACTCATTTGTATATTCTTGAAAGCAGAAATTGTAAAATTTGGAACGGTAGGGTTGATAGAAAACTTTATTTTTACCTATTTAAAACTTTGCCATTAAAGAATTATGAGGCCTATTAAATAATTATGTATTATCTCAGTCCCTAAGGTCACAAGGTGGCAAACTCAAACATGAGAACATGTCCTTGACTGTTGAGTCCACATCTTCCCGATTGTCTGATGTCCATCACAAAATGAAATTGCAAATTTTGCAAATGAGGTAAGATTTCATGAAGTTGATGAAAATGTTGGAGAACTGCCCAAATCACATACAAAACCATTTCCTAATGACAATTTGGCTGGGTTATTTCTGTTAATAATTGCATAAGAAAAGTTTGAGAACATGAAGATTTGATAAATGTTTCAGTAGGAACTCCAGCCATTGAGTTTCAATATCATTGGGATATCAAAGGATGAAGAGAGGCCCTTGGCAAAACTGATGAAGCTCTTGAATAATTTCAAAATATGATCCTTTTTACATTAGTTTGACAAAAGTCATTCAAAACATAAAGGATATTGCTTCATGTTATTGTGAAATTGGATCAGAAAAATTATTTTCCTCAGAACACAGTAAACATTTTATTTTGTGGTTTGATGAATTATATATAGCTGCTGGCAACCTAAATTTTGTTAAATATTAGATAAAAAAATGTTCCCCATAATGTTTGCTTTTATTTTTCAAGACGAATTAAAAAAGAATTTTCACCCCATTTTGTGAAATTTGGTCCTTGTTTTTAAGTAGAGTCAATTTTGGTGGCCTTTCTAGCACTAATTATCCTCCAGCAATGAAAAACTCCTGGATATGTTTCCTCTATTGGGCATACTTTTTTTCTCTTAGTTTTGTCAAAGAGGGACAAACCATATCAGTAAATAGTATACTTCTACTCGAATTACCCATGTGGACATAAAGGGAACAGTGTCTTATTTGCCACTAAGCATAGGGCTAAGGACATTGTACATAATCAATGAATAATTCTTTCTTCATTCATTATTTATTTATTTATTCATGCTAGGCACTGAGGACATGAGAATGATTCAGTTCTTTCCTTCATGGACTCTACAATTCTGCAGTTATTCTGACTTAACAAGTTATCCTTACTAATATATTCAGTACAGAAATACCTTTTTATCACAAATGTAATATATGCTCATTGTAGATGAATTTAGAAAATAAGAAGGAGGGAAAGAAGAAATCAGATGTAATTTCACCACTAGGAGATAAAATCTGATGATATTTGGGAATAGATGCTTACAGACTTTTCTTACTACGTGTGCATATAGTACATATAGTTATACATTTGTACATTGTATAAATATATACAAATTATGTAAGTATACACAACTATACAAATTATATAAGTGTATACCAATATATATTTGTATATTACATAAGTACAGATATTTTTAAAAGATATTTATACTATACATACTATTTTATAAATTGCTTATCTCACAGATATTTTTTAATAAATGTAGATCTACCTAGTCATAATGACTGAAGGGTATTCCATTATATGGATACGCCATAATTTATCAAATTTTCTACTGTTAATCATTTAATTGCTTCCAAATTTTTTACTATTATTAACTATGTAATCATCTTCACATACATTTTTATTCATTCATCCATCCTTTTTCTCAAAACAAATATTTTACACCATGTTAAAGCTTGAAATTTTAACTTCTTGAAGATTTAAAAGTTAAGAACATCGACAAAAACTTTTAAACGTTAAAAAACAGGCAAAACTAATCTACAGTATCAGAAGTCAAGATAATGATTGTCATTGAGGGTCAGGTGAGTGTTTTGATTGGAAGGGGACATAAAACGAGTTTCAAGAGTGCTTGAACTATTCTATGGTTTGAACTGGGGGTTGGTTACATGGGTTTGTAAAAATTCGACAAGCTATATATTTATGACTTGTCACTTCAACTTTCTTGTATTTATGTTACATTATCAATGAAATAAGTTAAAAAATTATATTATGGTTTGCCTCTATGTTATATCCTTAGGTAAATTCTAAGGATCAAATACTATTATCATTTTAAATTTTTTATAATTCATGTTGCTAATTATTTTGTAGAAAGTTTGCACCAATTTTGACTCCCACCAACAATATATAAATTGTGATTTTTTTGCATTCAAATTAATACTTACTATCATCATTTTTCTAATTGTTAGTAATTTACAAATTAAAAAATTGAGTATTTATTTTTCTCTCTAACTTTGTATTTGGAAAATTTTCAAACTTATAGAAAAGCTGAAAGAATAATATAATGGACACCCATAGATCCTTCATTAGGTTTGCCAACTTTTAACTTTTTGCCACATTTGCCTTCTCTCTGTCTGTATTTACATACACACTCACATATATGTATAGACTTGTGTGTATGTATATACATATTTATTTTTATATTTCTGAACTATTCGAAAAGAAGTTTTAGACATCATGACAATTTACCCCTTAATGCATCACTTAAGAATAAGAATATTCTTTTATGTAACCACATTATCTGTACCACATCTTAAAAAATGAACAATAATTTCATGTTATAAGTAATATCTAGTCCGTATTCATATATCCACAATTGTCCCAATATAGTCTTTTCTAATTGATTTTTAAAACATAGTACAAGATTAATAAAGTTCATTCACTTATTGCATTTAGCTATTTTGTCTCTTTAGTCTCTTTTGACCTAAAACAGTTCCTTGACACCATCACCCCATCCTGCTTTCTTTCTTGACATTGAAATTTTTCAAGTCTAGGTCACTTGAAAACCTTCTGTTTGTTTTCAAATGTGTATGACCATGCCTGATTTTGCAGGCTCAGATTACAAAATTATTATAGGTTTTCAGAAGCACATGTATCAGTAAGTGTAACAAATTTTTATTTTTGGCTATTGGTTAATCAGAGCAAGACACTGGATCTCCAGTTGGGCACCAGATGTTTTTACTGATGAAAAAAAGAAAGCATTCAGAGCTTTTACATCTTACGTTATTACTTTGATCATATAAGGAATAATAGTGACATTTCATTCTCTGGAAAGTATGGTGAGGATTTTCCTTCATATTGACACAATATATTATTCAATGAATCAGTTAGTGTAGAACCCGTTTAAAAGACCTGAAAATGCAGTGACAGCCAAGAAGGATATTTTGAAGTTTGAAGTGATCCCTATATAAATAGAACGGATCAGCATAACTTTGGGATAAAATTAGCCGACAGTTTGTGGACTCTCCAGCATGTGCCTGTTTGCTTGGTGCTGCTCTCCTGATAAACCACAACAAAGCTTCAGAGGGAGAGGAAGGATGGACGGCACCGTTGCCCCAAGGACTAAATCTGCAGCTGCCAAGCTAGTTAAGAGAAATTTCCTTGAGGCTCTAAAGTTAAATGACTTCGGAAAATTGAAGGCCATTTTAATCCAAAGGCAAATAGATGTGGACACAGTTTTTGAAGTTGAAGATGAGAATATGGTTTTGGCATCTTATAAACAAGGTAAAAATTATAGGAGTAATTGTAAAAGCTATAGAAAATAGATTTTTTTTTTTTTAATGCACAATGTCAGTCACCCACTCTAAACCTGTAGCTCTTATTGTTTCTTTAAGTATGTATTTTCAAAATATTTCTAACTTAATCTTTTCTTTCTTTTTAAACTAGACCACATTATGGGCTGATGTATACATATGATATATGTAGATATCTATCATATATATATATCATTTATATATATATTTTTTCTTTTTCTTCCTTTTTCTTTTCTTTCTATATCCCTGTGCCTGGAATTTGAAATCCTGGACACTCATATTTAGTAATGCACTTTTCTTCTAACTTTTCTTGTGACTATAACGACATAAAGAAAACATATCTAGATTATGGCTAAACAGGCTGCTGAGACCTAATCCAGACAGAGTGACTGGCTTGGGGACAGACTGCTAACTCTCTGTTAACACAGCCACTTAAAGATATATCATCTTTATGTCCATCTGGATGAAAAAGAGGATTTTGCCCCCATTTGGAGGGTTAATGAATGGGTAAGGCTGTGTCGTGACGCACCTTGATGGTCCTCATCGTTGTAATGAGTTTTCAGTTCAGGCACAAAAGCTGAAACCAGAAAAACCAAAAAGTTAACTTGTTTTCTTTGGCTACAATGATAGATCAAAATTGTAGATATACTTAGAGTATCTGCCTTAAAAAAAACTAAAGAAAACAAAATTAGAACCAAATTTTTTTTTATCAAGACATTTTCTGGAACTCATGCTTAATAAATTGGAAATAAATTAGAGACACTCAGATTCTGATTTCCCAAATCAGCTAGTTAATGGGGGAACTTGAGTAGCGAGGCCATCTGGTGAGCGGACTGCAAACAGACACCGTGTTCAACATCACTTCAGTTTAAACAAAACAGATGATAAGGTCTTGTGTGCAGCATTTAGAGAGAGAGGGTAATTCCTTTTTCATGTTTAAAATACTTTCCATTCATATATAAATCATCAGCATCATCATTTTCAGAAACTAATGCTAATGGTATATATTTCTACCTTAATTTACTATGTTCTGATTGTCAGTTCTGAAAGAAAGACAGGAGAGTTGAGGCCAGTTACTGTGTTTATGATTTTTACTTGAAGGCTTTATAACAAATTGGCATTACTATTTTGGCGGGAAGATAAAGAAGAGGTCTGTTTTTTAAAAAGTAGTTGATGGGGGCTCTGTTGAAAAGAAAAAATGTATACTGTATAGTTAGGTTACTTTCATCTTATGGATTTGTCCAGTGAAAGATTGTCTGAATGCTAAACACATTTTTAAGGTACTTTTTAAAATTTATATTTGTGCCCAATGTAAAATAACTTAGGTCCAAGTCAGCGGGTAATTTAATTGACCCTGAGTTGTGAAGACTGCCTTTTCTGGTCTCTGAGCATGCCAAATTGCACAGATCATGTGAAGGTTCTGAGGTTGTGAGAAAGTTTTAGGGGCAGGCTCTGGGGAAGAAGGGAGTTGTTTCCCCTGCTTCCAATGGTGTCATCACCCCTGAATGAGAAGAAATGCATTTAAAATTTTTTCTGTCAATATGAGTTGTCCCCTACGGTCCTCATAGAGCTAAATTTCATTCACGCCAATGGGTGTTTTCATAGTGTTAGGACTGTGGGATGTGGCTTTCAGTTAGGGAGACAGCAAATTACACCTTCTGGGAAAGGAAAAGAACAGTTCCATTCTTATGCATGCCGGGTAGACGTATGCACAGAAATAATAGGATTTGTGGTCATATCTTTGGGGTTTGTGCAAGAAATTGTGTGTGTGTATGTGTGCACATGTGTGTATAGAGAAAGAAATATACTTATTCTGTTTAAAATATGAATATATAAGAATCTGTCTCTTCAATCTTAAACTTGGATTAAAGCCTCATCATTCTTCAAAGTTTCTTGAAATTTTTTCACGTGTCTTCTAACCCAGCTATCAAACCTTTTAATATTTCAGTCGGATGGAAGTGATAAATAGAATCTTAGTTGCCAGCCAAGAAAGTAGATCTAAGTGGTTGTATCAAGTTCTTAAGTCACAAAGGAATTCCCAGGAAACCGTAGAGCTGAGCAGGCTACACTGGTTAGTTAGTTAGTTAGTTAATTAGCTAGGGTTAATTAGTCCTTTCTGAATAATTCTAAGGAATGAGAACTTTTCCTGTATGGCCTTGAAGGGATTAAACTTTGTGAGACTTTATCAAATCACAGTGGACTTCTTGGATGTTGAACGCTGTTGAGTTGCTATACACTAGTTTTTGATTTTTTTAAAACACTTTTGAAAAGCTCTACACAGAAAAGTGTACTAATCATAAGTGTGCAGCTTGATTAATTTTCACAAAATAAACAAACCTATGTGACCAGCATTCAGATGAGGAAACAGAACATTACCTGTTTACTTTTAAAGTGTGGGAATCTTCAGATTTTAGATATTTTTGGCTTAATAAGCAAGGCAATGTGTAAAACCTATAACAGATACCATGGTACCTTTAAATTTGCTTGTGTAAATAATAATATAATCTATATTCAACATTTGATTTTCCTGCAGAAGATCAACAGTAGTATAATTAATCCCAAACCATTTTTATTTCCTATAGGATATAGCACAGCATTTGTCCTAGGATCTCAAAAAATGACCACATTTTTTCCCTAAATATAGTATGTCTAAGCCAGTATGAAAGTCAGTTTATAATTTTTGGAAAGGCAACTCAGAACTCCGTTCACAAAAAAATCAACTTGAGATCTAAACATTGCTCCCCCGAACCCACAATCTAATTAGTACACTAATAGTCAAAAGTGGACCTCCTAAGCAAATATTAAGTGTGGGTTTTGTGAGGAAGGTAGCACAAAGTGTCTGGAAAGTCACTTCTGCTTCCCCATCTCATGGAGTAGCTTCTCTTACCCATGCGACAGAGAACAGATTTAGAAGCCAGCTTCCAGAGCTCAGATTCAAACGGTGGGTCCTGCCTAGCCCCCCACACCTCACAATGATTCTTAAAGTTAGAGAGATCACATTTTATTTTTTCAAGTTATTTTATTTTTTTTTATTTTTTATTTTATTTCTTTTAAAGATTTTATTTATTTATTTTTTCCCCCCAAAGCCACCGTAGATAGTTGTATGTCATAGCTGCACATCCTTCTAGTTGCTGTACGTGGGACGCGGCCTCAGCATGGCCGGAGAAGCGGTGCGTCGGTGCACGCCCGGGATCTGAACCCGGGCCGCCAGCAGCGGAGCGCGCGCACTTAACCGCTAAGCCACGGGGCCGGCCCCTCAAGTTATTTTAAACTTCATAATTAAACCTTCAGATAAAATCACATTTTATTGGTTAAAAAAAACTTCTCTCGTACTTTGTAAAGTAAGCATTAAAAACATTCTGGTTGGCATTTGAGATATCTCCTAAAGAGTGGCAGAGGTATGAGTCTTAAAAGCAAAAACAAGTAAGCAAAATTACATCCATTTAAAATGGGAATGACATGAAGAAAAGTTAAATACATGAACAACTTTTTAACTGCCAGAAGCAATAATTAATTGAATAGTCAAGGGATGTCAATGATATAAAGTTTATTACGAGCCAAGCATGCAGTCTTTGGAGTGAAAGCTGAGTTTCGAAGAAAACTCAAAGTCTATTTATATTTGCTCTTCCTTGTGATCTCCATACTGGAAACGTGAACGTCTCTAAAGCTGTTTCCAAAGATTTTTCCGACTACACATTTCGATTCTCCTTCAGACGTATGAGCCTTGGCTCATTAATGATACAGGCGGAATATCATGCTTATCTCTTTCATATGCAATTCCCTCGTCAGCAGGGTTAATCAGAGTCCTTTTATTAATCAGTGTAATGAGCTTTAAGTACTTCGTTTATGGCCAACAGCCACAGGTTCTGTGGTTGGTAGTCATATTTTTAATTAAAATAACCAATGAATGATTTCACTGGAAAACTTTCTGGCAGGTACTCTGTCTACCTTACTAAGTAGCAACTGCCATCCAAATATCCTGAAAGCTCTTATTTCTACTCTCTTAATGAATACTCTCTTTATCATCTAATTTTCTTCTTTGCCAGAAATTCGCTCTCCTACTTTCCTATTACCAGCCTAGGGTTCTTTTCCCTTCCTAGATGTTCAAACTATTTTCTTTTAAAATTTCCATTTCAAACTTACTTTTTTGTTCTCTCCTGGGAGAACTCTGAGATTTATCCTCGAAATATTAGCTGTTAAAAAATAGCCAAGAATTGTGCTTCAGTCTATAATCCTTCAGGACTGTGTAAATACGCGGACACAGGCAGAGCAAATGTCTGCTAATCCAGCCAAAAGCAGCGTGTTTAACCTTTGGCTGTAATAACAGAGGCTTCCCGTGTGGGGGGTTCTTTGGACTCAGATAACATTATAGCTGATAACTGTTGCAGAGCCCAGGCTTAGCCGAAGGTTTACCAGACATGTGTACATCCCCCCAAACACTGGAGCAGAATCAATCTTCTCTTCCAAAAGATGGCCAAACACTTCCCTCCTTACTGTATTTCCTGAGCCAGGGAGCTTTCTACTCAGCTACTCAGGGCATATCTCTTTGGTTTCAGATTTAAATTCAACACACACAGGATTAGCCTGCATATTTTTGTAGGAGTAAAACTTCTAAAATCCCTTTAGAACTTTTGCATACAAGTAATATTGGTTTGGAAGTGAACCACATGTAGTCTTCAGAGCACTGATGGCTATTTAAAGATGTGGGGGAGACCAGAGATTGAGTTGACCTCTGTCAGTACTAGTTACAAACACGGGCATTTATGCTGCTTAATCTCTACAAGATCTTTATCCTCATTTGTGAAGTGGAGGCTTTGTCAAGACCCTCTCTAAATCCCCTGCATGCTGATAATCTATGATGTTATGAGGGGAAAATTATGTAAACAGATTATGGTCTGGGGAAGGTAAAAAGCAACTGTAGATACTATAAATCCACATGAGCATGGTGTGTAATTGAGAGTTCTCTGTGGGATTTTTGCATAGGAGAAAGGATCTGTATTTCTTTTCTTCTTCTCAGCTAAGCTTCTTGCTCAAGCAGAGCTGTTCTGCAAGGAGGCATCACTGCACACGGACTGCCGACCTGGGGCGAGAGGGTACTTGGTTTCCATTAGGTGAGGCAGCAGGTTCTTCACTCCCCCATCAAGGGCTTCGTTCCCAGGGTCCACTACACCTTTGTCCTTTGTGCAATCTGAGCACACAGTGAAAGGGCAGCCTGGCATCTGCAGAGGTGAGCAGAGGGGGGCCCTTTGAAAGACAAATGCTAAGAATAAATCATAGTGTAGGTTCTGAAGCCCCGGGACAATTCTGCTGTGGAAAGAAGGCAGAGTATGAAAAATGAATCTGCCTGATTAGTTAACTGTATTTCTGTCATGCTGTGACCATTGGTGGTTATATTTTGGAGGACAAATTCTGATCTCTTGACATCTCAGCATCAACACAAGTATGTTAACAGGAGCTGCATCACGGTGGTTTTTGAGGATGGCTTTGCCTCAGGTTTGGTCCTCAGCGGGGGTAGGTGTGGTGGAAAGGACACTCACTCATTTCCACACTTGGTACGTAGTAACCTGTGGCCGCAGCCTCATTTTAAGGTAGTAATTATATATGCGCAGCCTCCTTGCTATGAGCTGCTCCTTTCTCTGCAGATGGTTTTCCTGCTATGCTCAGAGTGGAATTATCCAGAAACTCTTCCTCCAACACCACCACCAAAGTTCTGCAACACAGCTTCAAGATGCACTTCAGCGGACCCTGATCCATATCCCACAAGCTGTCCTCTTCCTATTTCTCCATTCGGCTCCCTGGGGGCACCAGCTAAGGTGTCTTGTTGCCACTCACCTACACACATTCCTGTCTAGGAGAGATGAGTTGTAGGCACAATTCCATTCGCCGGGTCGGCTGTATTCCAGAACTGGTGGTCTCCGAGTCCAATTTACTGGTTAATGATCATGATTATAGGAGACGCAGATGAAACCAATTGAGAGGCTAAGGATGACTGATTCATGTAATAAAGGGGTGGGATAGATTCTCCCGGTGCTACGGGGAATTTAGGAGGAAGAAAAAAAAATCAACAAGCAAATGCTTTTCCATGTTAGAGATGTGACTTATTATAGATGAATTCAGGATCTTCTTTCCTTCCTCATGATTTGTGAAGCGGGCTTGGGGCTAAACCTATTCTGTTCCCACAAAGACAAAAACAGATGGAAACATGCATTGTGGATATCCTGAGTCCCTTAGCTTGGCCCGAGGCAGGCAACTCATGGTCTAGCAGGCTCAAAAAGTGGCAGTTTTCTCATCTGGAAAATGGAAGGCTTGGACTGGGTAAGCTTCCCCCCAGTGCTAACATTCTGTGTTTCTTTGATTTTAAATCAAAATGGAGTTTTCTTAATCAGCTCTCTGTTGCTTCCTTGTTAAGATCATTTTTCTTCTCGTTGCAGAAGCAGGCCTGAACTTCCAACCAGTGGCTCCATAGAGCTGCCTAATCTTTCCTGCTAATCGGCAGGCAAAACACACTCTGGTTTTCAGGTCTGGAACCAGCTTCTTTCCAAGACAATTAGAAGAGTCTGTCTTTGTAAATAGCTTGTTGAAGAATTTTGAGTATTAAAATGGCTGATTAAGTATTGGTGATAATGTGGTTCATTCATTTTCAAAAGCAGGCTGCATACCACAGAGCTTAAAAATTTTGCTTGGAACACAGATTCAATGTACATAGCTAAATAGAAATGTATAAATGGATATATATGCCTATATTGTGTGTGCGTATCTATTTACACACACACACACACACACACACACATACACATATACTACAGGCACAGAGTTAATACTCCAGCCCAGGTTGCCTGTGATTCTGTTTATCTCTGCCAGGGAAAGTCCATATCACCAAATATCTTGCCTTCTCAGTGTCTGGAATCTTGAATTTGTATCTTAGATCTTAATTCTATTAGTTGAATACAGATTCCTACATAAATTCAGATAATCCCATGAGGGTCACCCTTTGAACAATCCTCAGTTTATTAGAACTTGGTGTGAACTAACTTTGGATTTCTTTTTAAATAGCAGATTTGGATAAGGGGAGAATTGGAGAAAGAGAAAACAAAATTGCCCTAGAATTCTTAATGGGATGAAAAAGGGATTAATGTGTGCGGGTGTGTCTAGGGTGGAGAGTGGGCTGCAGAAAAACAAACTTCAGGTTGGATTCATTCATTGCCTCAGGATTAATCAGCATTATGTATCACCCTATATATGACCTCTTTAAACTAAACTACTTTTTCCCTCTGGATAGGGGGACAAAAGTTTATTTTAATTTTACTTATTTTTATAAATAGTAATACATGCACAAGGTACTAAATTTAAAAGCACAAGGGGGGCATTCAAGGACAAGTAAATCTATGTTCTTGTTTTGCAGCCCCCAGTTCTTGGAAGTCACTGCTGTAACCAGTTTCTTGTTCTAGGTGTTTATAAATATTCTTGCATATGATGGCATATTATGCATACTGTTCAGCTCCCAGCTTCTCTTGGTCAAAAATATATCTTGAGATTTTTCCACATCTATATACATAGAACTATCCCCTTCTTTATAACGGCTGATAGTATTCAATTGTATGGATGTACCATAATTTGTTTAAACAGTCTCCTATTGATGAAGATTGAGGCTGTTTCCAATTGTTAACCTTTAAGAACAATGCTATAGTGTTGTGCATGTTCTTGCCCGTAGGCTGAGTTGCCAGGATTCATAACTCCTGGGAACTTCACACTCTTCACAAATTTCAACACAAAAGGTCTTCCTGGGACTTATGCAATACAGTGGCCCTTATCGGGTATTTCACACACGAGTGATTATACTTGTAGCATAAATACCCAGGAGTAGCATGTATGTAGTGTTTTTCCCTTAAATGAGAGAATTTTAAGATCTGATCACCAGGCCCACTTTTAACGTGGTCATCAGCCTCTGAGTGCCCTCCACATGCTCATCACTGGTGCGCAGAAGCATTCACGGTATTCTAGATTTATTCTGACCTCATCTAAGCAGTGAAGAATACAACTTTTACTTCTCTTGTTCTGGGCACTGCACTTTTATTAATGTAGCTTAAGATTGTACTAGCTTTTTGGCAGCTCCATGCCACTGTCGGCTCATTTTGAGATTATTGTCAATTCAAATCCCTAGGTCTTTTCTCAAATAAATTACCATTAAACCATCTTCTGCTTACCTTGTACTTGTATAGTGGAATTTTTATAACCTAAAAGCAAACTTCTGATTTATCCATGTTAAAATTTGTTTTGTTGTTTCATCCCTAGAGTCTCTTCTAAGCTGTTGAGCTATTTCTACATCTTCATCTTGCCATTCATATTTCATCTTTCTGTACCTATTTTCCACTCTGCACTTATGGTGAGCTTAATGTCATGGCTCTAGTATTGACATTGAAAGGTTTATAAAGTTTTATTTGTTATAGCTTGTCAAATATGGCAATTGTTAGAGGCTTGGATAAAAGGAGCTAGCTCAGTGTTTAGAAGTCAAAGATCAGAGGGAAAAAGGAGAGATATGGGAAAGAGAGAGAGAGAGAAGAGGACATTTCCAACAACTAGTGGGAAAAATTTATCTAAGATCTCAGTTCTAGGAATAACTATGATTCTTCTCACCAATTAATTTGTGTATAGCTTGTCGGTATAGTTAATTGTGCAACACATCATGTTTTCCTGTTTATTTTGGCTGCTAGAAGTTCAAAGGCTAATTTTGCAATGTGGTTTTAGTGTACGGGACACAGTTTACATTTTGTGTACTTATCTTTGACCTCTTTTTATTTTCCTACCTTATTTTTTCTGTGCCCTTATTTTCTAGATCATTAGAAAACCTTGTATTGTGTAAAATTTGTGAGTTAACTTAAATTCTTCTTTGGAAGGACATATTGTATAAGTTGACAGGCAGGCAGATAAAACCTTGGTGTGACAAGTTTTTTAAAGACATCAAATACATTCACACCTTAGATTGACAACAACAGCCACAACTATAGGGAAAAAGAACTGTGATGGAATAAAAATTATAAGCTTGTAACTAACGGCTTTGGAAACAATGGTTGGGAGTTAAAAAATTCTTTAGTAAGAGTCTCCTCGACTCTACTCTCAGGTAAAATAAAATGCAATCACATAAGTGAAGGTCTCAAACTCAAATTCCTTGGAGAGCCAGGAAGGTAAAGTAAATAAAGGAACAAGATAATAGAGAGCAGTAGAGACAGTGAGAACTCGAGAGCGTCTGGCCCACTTAAGAACACCCAAATATGCTACTAAACTAACCATTTGCAGACTCATCAGCTACTAGTTTACAACTTCCGAATCATTTCCCTCCCAATTTTATAAATGTGACCAAAGTAAAATACTTTGTAAAAATCCTCACAAAACAGGGAGAAATTCTAGGTCAAGAAGTTGAATTTTCTCTTCTTTTTCAGGGTATTGGTTGCCTAGTTATAAATTAAAGTCTTCCTGGGCAACAGGCTTGCATCTCTCCGTCTTGTTTGGTCACGTGGAGTGTCTTCTGGTGCTACTGGACCACAATGCTACAATCAACTGTAGGCCCAATGGGAAAACCCCTCTTCACGTGGCTTGTGAAATGGCCAACTTGGACTGCGTGAAGATCCTCTGTGACCGTGGAGCAAAGCTCAATTGTTATTCCTTAAGTGGACACACAGCTTTACACTTCTGTACAACTCCAAGCTCCATTCTCTGTGCCAAGCAATTGGTTTGGAGAGGTAAGCCTTTCTGGGTGGCTGACATTGTCATCACTTGCACACTCATGGTTTCGAAACGTGGTGATCCTTACTTAACTCAGGCGATATAGCAGGAATCCCCATGCATGAAGCCTCATCCAGGGGGCCCTAAAAATATATATATATATACACACATACATATATATACAAAATATATACATATACATATATACGCAACATACATATATATATATACATGTATACACCATATATATATATGTGTTGGCTCCTGTCATTCAGTGATGATCACATTAGAATCTTATTATTTTTTAATTGTAGGAGGCTCGTTAATTTACACATTTATTTAACAAATATTTATTTAGCACCTATGATATATCAGGCTAATGTGCTAAGTAAGTGAAAAGAGAAAATAGTATCTGCCCTGAAGGAGCTTATATTCTAATAGGGGAGATAAGTATTAGCAAAACAGATTCATAAACATATAATTGTAAGTTGGGAAAGGAGCAAAACAAGGTATTATGAAAGAATGTCAGGAGTGATCTATTATAAAATGTATAAAGACATTTCTAAAGATATGCTATGTAAGCTGAACTTTAAGAATGAGAAGGAGTTAGCCACTAAAAAAAGGAGCCAAGAGGAAGAGGAGTCTAGGTATAGGGAATAGCATGTGCAAAGTTGCTAGGAGAGCAAAAAACTTGGACTATTCAACAAATGGAAGAAGACCAGGTGGCCAGAGTGTCATGGCGTGGGGTGGGGTGGGAGGGTAGAGGGTAGAGGGGAGTGCCACAAGATGACATTGGACATGTTAGATCATATACAGCTTGCTGGGGGCCAAAGGATGGGGCTTAGAAATGGAGCCACTGAAAAGTTCTAAGCAAGGCAACGACATGGTTTAATTTTCACTTAAAATAATCATTCTGGGGCCTGGCCCAGTGACGTAGCAGTTAAGATCAGGTGCTCCACTTCGGTAGCCCAGGATTCGCAGGTTTGGATCCCAGGTGCGGACCTATGCACCGCTCATCAAGCCATGCTGTGGTGGCATCCCACATACAAAATAGAGGAAAATTGGCACAGATGTTAGCTCAGGGACAATCTTCCTCAAGCAAAAAGGAATATTGGCAACAGATGTTAGCTCAGGGCCAATCTTCCTCACAAAAAAAAAAAAGAGAAGAAAAGATATGAACAAACTTTTCACCAAAGTAAATATACAGCTGGCAAATAAATACACAAAAACATCCTTGGGGATTAGGGAAATTCAAATTAAAATCATAATAAAATACTATTATATATCTATTTGAATGGCTGAAATAATTTTTTTTTTTAATGTGACATTATTAAGTTCTGGCAAGGATGGAGAGCAACTGGACTCATACATTGCTGGTGGGAATGCAAAACAGTACAACCACTTTGAAAAACAGATTGGCAGTTTCTTATAAATTTACTATACAACCCATCATGCCACTCTTAGGTATTTACCCAAGAGAAATGAAAACATGTCCACACAAGAACGTGTATGCAAATGTTTATATCAGCTTTTATTTTCAAAATCGCCAAAAACTAGAAACAATCCAAATGCCCCGCTACTGGGGAGTGGATAAATTGTGTAGCATCTATGCAAAGAATTCTACTCAGCAACAAAAAGGTCTGATTTACTGGTGAGTGCAACCACATGGATGAATCTCAAACACATTATGCTAAATGGAAGAAACCAGATGTAATTTATATGATATTCTGAAAAAGACAAAATTGTAGGGACAGAAAACAAATCAGTGGTTGCTGGAGGTGGGGTAGAGTGAGAGGATTAACTACAAAGGGCATGTGCACATGTGTGCGTGGGATCCGAATCTGCGAACCCTGGGCTACCAAAGCGGAGTACGCAAACTTAACCACTATACCACCTTGCTGGCCCCCTTTCCTCTTTTTTTTTAAATAGGTTGTTTGTTTTCTTATTATTGATTTGTGAGAGTTCTTTATATATTCTGGATACTAGCCATTTATCAGATATGAGGTTTGCAAATATTTTTACTCATTCATTGCCTTTTTATTTTCACAATGGTGTCTTTAAAACAGCAGAAGTATTTAATTTTGATAAATTCAATTTATCAATTTTTACCTCTTATGGTTTGTACTTTTTGTGTTGTATCTAAGACATCTTTGACTAACCCAAGTAACAAAAATTTTCTCCTATGTTTTTGTATAGAAGTTTTATAATTTCAGGTTTTACTTTTAGGTCTTTGATTCATTTTGAGCTAATTTTTGTATATGGTATAAGGTATGGATTGAGGTTCACCTTTTTTATATACAGATGTCCAATTATTTCAACATCATTTGTTGAAAAGACTATGCTTTCACCATTGAATTGCCTTGATATCTTTGTCAAAAATCAATTGGTCAAATATGTATGGATCCATGGATCGATATATCTATTTTTTGCTAATGCTCCACTGACTTGGTTGCATTAGCTTTACGTTAAGTCTCAAAATCGGAGTGACTCCTCCTAGATCAGCTGTAAACATGAGAAGTTTCAGATCTCTTTGAGACATCAAGGTGTATAAGTCAAGGTTGCGCTTGGTATAAAAGTATGGCTTTCAGAAGAAAGCTCTGGACTAACACTGTAAGTTTAGGAATTGTTGGCCCATAGAATGTATTTGAAACCAAGGAAATCAATGAAATCACCTAGATAAAGAGTGTAGCAAGAGAAAAGAGAACCTAGGACAAAGCCCTAATAAATTCTTACATTTAGATGTTAGCAGAATGGAGAAGAGCCAAAAAAGGAGAGTGAAATGGATTGATAAGTCAAGTTGGAGAAAACCCAAGAGCATTTTTGACATCACAGGGACTAAGAAAAAGGCAGGTTCAAGAAGGAAGGAGTGGTCAGCTGTACTGATATCTACTGAGAGGTTTAATTAGATGTTCATTAGATTAATTGAAAGAATTATCACTGACAAAAATAGCTTTAGTGAAGTGGTGGGTGTAGAAGCTAGCTTAGGAGGTGCGAATGGGAGGTTAGAAACTAGAGATGGCATATGTTGACAATTGTTAAAAGAAGCTTGGCTGCAAAAGTAAGCATAAGAATAGAATGATTGCTGAAGGGGAAGGGGGTGTCATAGGAGAGTATTATTTACAGTTGGAGATCAAAGGAAATGTTTGTGTGCTGAAGGAAACGACTTATAGAAAGAAAACAGTGGAAGATACATGAGACAAGATAACTGAAAGGTCCAAATCTTAGAGAAGTTGAGACGGGATGAAATCCAGAGACCAAGAGACACATCCTCATTTTTAACAGATGGGCCAAAGTAAAAGATGGCTTTAAATGCCAGAGCATTTATAGATTTGGTGGTGGTAAGATGAGGGAGTTCATATCTGATAGCTTTCCCCCCTCAATATGTTATGAGGCAAAGTTGTGAGCCAAAAATAAGAGCAGAAAGGGAGGAAATTTTGATGAGACAGGGAAAGGTATGGAAAGGTCATGGGGAAAGAATGGGAGAACAAGCTTAAAGATGCCATGGTCTTCTCAACCTGAGAGAATTAAGGGGAAAAAAATTAGCCTGGCTTATTCTCCTTCTTGCCTGCCCCGGAGGAAGGGCCTGCTGCAGAGACACAAGAAGAGGGGTCGGCACCAGCTGGTCCACCTTACCACTTGTGGTCACCACTGCATTTCACATTTACTCATACATTTATTTTTATTAATATTTTAATTAATTAATTTAAACTTTTAAGCCTTTTATTTTTAAAAGTTGTAGAGAGTTAAGAAATTATCTATTTGTTTATTGACTATTTATATCACTGCCTTTCCATGTGACTTCATCAACCACAGACTGACAGACAGCTGCCAACCCTTTCACTCCTCAGAGGCATTGCCACACACCTTTCCCAGAGGGCACCGTTGTTCCTCATCTCCTTTCTCTCTGTCAACAGAGGGGCACTACCTAGAGATCAGAAGGAGTAAAGAAGGAGGGGGAGGCCGGGCAAGGCTTCCTATGGGCTGACACTAATGAATTAGGCTGATAACAATTGAGGAGGAAGAGTAGAAGTCCATTAAGGACATACTTACTCTTTAGCGCTGTGGCATCAAAGGGATGCTGAAGCCAAAAAGAAAAGAAAGATAAGTTAGAGAAAGCAAAATTGTTCAACCTCTGTGTGGCCAACAGGTCATAAAATCAAAAAGCAGTCGTAAAACTGGGAAAAATATTTGAAACTATATGACAAAAGGCTCGTATCGTTAATATATAAAGAAATCTTAAGAATTAAAGTAAGGAAGTTAACAACTAAGAAAAAAAAAAGAACAAAAGGACCAAGAACAGGAACAGGAATAGTTATTTCAGGAAAAAAACAAGCATATAAACAATGAATAAAGATAATATAATGATCACCTTCACTGGTAATCAGTAAAATGTCAACTAACATAACAAATAGATGCTTTTATTATTGTTTATTACATTAACAAGGACACAAAAGATGATAACACATATGTTGACAAACACATAGGGAAGTGTTTCACACACGCTCAATGCAGTGTAAATGGATACAGTTGAGAGGGTGGTATTAAAAGCCTAAAACTTTTTTTAACTCAGCAAGTCCACTTCCAGGATTAAGACTAATTAGACCCTTTGGCTCAGGGCTCTCATTTACGTAGGACCTCAAATTCAGATTTTAGATATCATCTCCAAACAGGGTTATACATTGAGTCAAAGAGATAACTGATAAGAAAGAAAGAAGACATTTATCATGTAACAGAATTGTGCTTGGTCACGCTATCTGTAGTACACTAGAAATTAAGAGACTTTCTCCTAATTCCATAAGAGTCTTCAAAATAGTATAGTTATAGTGTGTTTTATTTTATATTTTTGCATTAAAAGGTTTGATTAATTAAAGAAAACATTTAAAATATACCACAATTTTAAAAAACAGATATTGGCATTTTTTATTTTTTAATATATTTAGAGTCTCAAAAAATTACCTTGGGGCTGGCCGGTGGCCTAGTGGTTCATTTGGCACATCCTGCTTTGGTGGCCTGGGTT